GGGTGAAGCCTCCCAACACATTTACGAAGATCAGCTGGTTCATCGTGAAACCAAAGGCTATTAAAGCCCCACATGTTGCTTGGAGGTCACTTGTTCATTTGTTTTCACCAGGTTCATTTGTTTCCAAACTGTGATGTTTCTACTACTACTCCCATTTCATAAATATTATTGATTAGCATGAATAAAAGTTTTTTAAAGTGACTTGACTGTAAACATAAATATTAAGTAAATAGAAGAACAATTGATGGTCTGCAGCATGGCAAAACTATTTATTTATTTATTTGAATGCCTGTTAATTTTTATTTAATTTATCTTTTTTTTTTAAATTTTTAATGTTTTATTTATTTGTAGGAGAGAGAGAGAGAGAGAGACAGAGTGAGCAGGGGAGGGTCAGAGAGAGAGGGAGTCACAGACTCTGAAACAGGCTCCAGGCTCTGAGCTGTCAGCACAGAGCCCGACGCGGGGCTCGAACCCATGAACTGCGAGATCATGACCTAAGCGAAAGTCGGACGCTCAACCGACTAAGTCACCCAGGCGCCCCATTTAATTTATCTTTTTAATTTACATCCAAGTTAGTTAGCATCTAGTGCAACAATGATTTCAGCAATAGATTCCTTAATGTCCCTTGCCCATTTAGCCCCTTCCCTCTCCCACCAGCCCTCTGTTTGTTCTCCATATTTAACTCTCTTATGTTTTTATATTATTTTTGCTCCTCCCTGTTTTTATATTATTTTTGCTTCCCTTCCCCTATGTTCATCTGTTTTGTATCTTTTTAAAATTTTTTTTAAATGTTTTATTTGTTTCTGAGAGAGAGAGAGGCAGCATGAGCAGGAGAGGGTCAGAGAGAGAGGGAGACACAGAATCAGAAGCAGGCTCCAGGCTCTGAGCTAGCCATCAGCACAGAGCCCAACATGGGACTCGAACTCACGGACCGTGAGATCATGACCTGAGCCAAAGTCTGACGCTTAGCCAACTAAGCCACCTAGGTGCCCCATCATCTGTTTTGTATCTTAAAGTCCTCATATGTGTGAAGTCATATGATATTTGTCTTTCTCTGACTGACTAATTTTGCTTAGCATAACGCCCTCTAGTTCCATCCACATAGCTGCAAATGGCAAGATTTCATTCTTTTTGATTATGGCAACATTTTTAATGTCAAATTTGGTAACCCTTGGGACCGTCCACAAAGGGACTTCTCAGAGGAGGGAATGTAACTGGAAATGTCACACTTCCAATCCCACTTTCAGCTCTCATTTCTCCTCTCTTGGAATCTTCCCACGTGCCTGAAATCAGTCTTCTTCTCTGTTTCCAAAGTCCTAGTGTTTGTGCTCCAAATGGTCCTTATTCCATTTTATCTCGGTAGTTTGCCTCCCAGTTTGCTTTCCTTGCCAGTGGCCAGTTCTCCTGGGAAATCACCATTGCCTTCCCCACAGTTGGCACATGACGGTAAACTCTGAAGAAGGAAAGAATAAACAGGAGAATGAAAAGCACTATCTCCAGCTGTTTCCTGATGATTAGGAAGCTGTGATGCCAGGAAAGGCTTGAAAACTCCAGACCCAGTACTATTCAGAAAGCCAGTTGGATTACTTTGGCAAAAGCACTCTATATTTTAGGACCAAGATAAGTTTGCGACTTTCCTGAATAATTGATTTCTTTTTTTTTAATGTTTTATTTATTTCTAGGAGAGAGAGAGAGACAGCATGAGCAGGGGAGGGTCAGAGAGAGAGGGAGTCACAGACTGAAACAGGCTCCAGGCTCTGAGCTGGCAGTCAGCACAGAGCCCGATGTGGGGCCCGAACCCACGAACCGCGAGATCATGACCTAAGCGAAAGTCGGACGCTTAACTGACTAAGCCACCCAGGCGCCCCTTGAATAGTTGATTTCTATTTATGAGAACTCTGATCTAGCAAGCAGCTTTACCCATGCAATACAGGTGCCAAAGGAAGAGTGAAACACTCTGGTTCTTTTGCATTTTTGGGTCAGCTGATCCTGAGTGGATTTGGAAGTCAGTATTTGACATATTCCCATCCCTCTCAAAGTCACCGACTTTTCTGTTTGGATTTCCATTCTTTCTCTCAGCTAGCAAGATTCTCTACTGATCTATTGATATTTAATAGACTGCTCTTTCTCGAATCACACCCAGTTCTCTAGAAGACTGCAGCTGTTAATGCAGTTAATTGAAAGGAATAAAGCTATAATGATGGAATTATAGGAAGCTATAATGGTGGAGTGGAAAACCCCCTTAAGTCTTAATCACTTAGCCAACTGCCTGCTTTGCTTTCTTACAATACAATTTAAGTTCACTCTGGCAGCCACACAGGTCAATTGCAGCCAAGTTTTGCTGGCTTGCCTGAGGTAGCCAGAAATTAAGTGCATAGACTCTGAGTCAGACTGCTAGGTTCAAATCCTACATCTTCTACTTCTCAGTTGTGTGACCTTAGGCAATTTATAAAACCTCTCCTAACCTGGTGACTTTATAAAAGTGGGCTATGTTCTCTACCTCATCCGGATGTTGTGTTCAATAAAATAATCCATGTAAAGCACTTACCATAGGACCTGGCCCACAGTTGGATCCAGTAAATTTAGCCATTATCATTCCATTCTCCCTTTGGAATGTCCTAATTTCCTCACAGATACTTGAAGTATAACCATTTATTTTGTAGGCAGGATGTATTACCATGCAGCAGAGAGAGAGAGAGAGAGAGAGAGAGAGAGAGTAGCTAGGCTTTCACTTGCTGAATGACCATGCAAAACCCGCTTCTTCTCTCTGAGTCTGTTTCACGTCTGTAAAATCAGTCGGGACAGGCAGGATTTTTCCAGAGTTGCAAACTCAAATGTCTACAAAGGCCAATAAGTAAAATTAGGCAATCACTGGGGACTTGGGCTGGGTATAATAGAGTGTTGGAGAGGAGAGTATGGCTAACCATAAAACTTTGCTACTCAAAGTGTGGCTCACTGACCAGCAGGATTGACAGAACCTTGGTGTTTGTTAGAAACAGCAGAATCTCAGGACCCACCTCAGACCTAGTGAAACAGGATGTGCATTTTAACGAGATCCCTAGGTGATCTGTATGCACATAAAAGTTTGAGAAGCCTGCTGTGGAACACAAACAGTCTAAAGGCAATCAACTTTACTTACTTTTATTTTGTTTTGCTTTAATGTTCAGCCACACAAACTTTGGGTTCCAACAGGCCTCAGGCTGTAGAGTGAGCTCTAAGATGCTGCCAGCTCTAGGATTCTGAGAAATACCCTATCATTATAAGTCATGGCTCTGGGCATGTGGATATATAGCCAGGACCAAGCCTGGGTTGCTAGGAACAAATAATTCCTGCAGTGGAAATGCCTAAAAAGTCAACTGCTCAGCTCTCTGTCTTCTGACAGGCAAACTGTTATTGCCTCCTCTCTGCAGACAAGATAGTGAGGTCCAGGGAGACCCACCGACCCAAATCCAGACACCAGGAAGTGGTGGTGGTGGGTATATGGCATCAGGAACAAGACAATACTGAGTCGTTAAAATCTGCGACCATTCTGGCTTCCCAGGCTTCGAAAGCCTATTCATTCCTGTACATTCTCCAACGTGCAGTAATTGTTCTCTGTTTCTCCCGGCACCTCCCTGCCACTTCCTGGCAGCCCTGGGGACAGAAGGTTTCCTCCTTTTTGTCAGAGAAGGCCCAGAGCCCGGTTTCTGAACGGATATCCGGCCCGCAGGATGCAGAGGAGGCAAAGCCTTCATTGTTCCCTGGGGCCAGCCGCCCCTCCCCCAGCCCGGAGGACACTCGTCGCAGACCACGGGTGACCAAGGGCTCATTTCCCAGGAGTGGGACGTTCAAAGGAAGCAAGGGAGAGAGGCTGAGAGTGTATCTGGAGGCTGAGGTTCTGAGCATACAGCTGAAAGGCGTTCAGAGCCCCAAGATAAATAAGCCTGGAATTTGAAAACATATTTCCAACGCAGGCTCCCCGCCGTTACTCACTGCTCTCCACAGCCCACTCGGGCGATTGCGTGTGCGTTTTCATAAATCGGAATGTTTGACTGTAATGAGAGTCGTGAATTTGCGGGCCCCGCTCGCTGCAAGGCACTTTATTAGCAGAAACGAGCCCCTTCCCACGCTCGGATCCCCGGAGCGCCCACCAGGCGCGCGGAGGCGGCGCCGAGCCCTGGGGGGCGCGGTCCGCGTGGACCTGCCGCCGCGCCGCCACTCCGCGGCCACCAGGGGGCGCTCGGGCCGCACGGCTACCCACGCGGCCACCAGCGCCAGGTCGCCGCCGACTCGCGGATCCCTTCGCGCCCTTGCAGGAAACAAAGTACACCTTTGTCAGCGTCCGGCGCGTGTGCGTGTGAGACGGCGCACACTGGCCGGGCGCAGCGTGCGGAGCCCGTCGGGCTGACCTTCCTACCCGAGCACGCCCGGAGGGGCGGCAAGGACCCGCACCGGCTCCTGCGGGAACGGGGCGCTACGCCCGCCGCCGCCGCCGCCGCCGCCGCCGCCGTGGCCTGTGGACTTCGCTTTCCCGGCTCTCAGCAAGGCGGGAAGCGGGCCCGAGGGAGCCCGGCCCCGGGACTGTGGGCTCTGGCTCCGGCCGGGCCGCCTTCGATTCGCCCGCTGCCCCTCGCAACCCCGCGCCCCTAGCCTCCCCAGGCCGCGGCCGCCTTGACTCGGGGTGAGAGTCCCGGGGCCGGTCTCGGACTCCGGCGGCCGCGCGCCAGTCTGGCCCCCGCGCGGCGCGTCGGGCGGGGAACTACAAGTCCCAGCAGGCCCTGCTCACTGAGTGCCGAGACAGGAGGCGCGGCCCGCCCGGCGCCTGCGCAGTGCGGCCGCCCGAGCCTGCTAGTACCACACCCCCGGGAGGGACGGAGGGGAGGCAGAAGCATCCGAGGCATTAAAGCATCCGAGAGAGCCGGAGGGGTGGAGAATGGAGTGACAGAGAAACGCGGAGGGTGGGGGGTGGGGGGGAGAGTGTTGAGGGAGGGGGGAGGGGGGACACAGAGGGAGGAAGAAGCGGCGGCGGCAGCTCCTCTTTGCAGAGGGGGAAAACTCCGAGGGGTAAGAGCAGGAATAATGCGGTAGGCGAGGCGGGCTGCTCGCTCCCGGCTCCGGCTCCGGCTCCGGCGGCAGCAGCGGCAGCCCGAGCAGCGGCAGCGGCAGCGGCAGCACCGCGAGCAGCGGACACAGCCCCGCCGGCAGGCTCCCTCGCTGACCGCCGACTGTCAATGGAGCTGGAAAACATCGTGGCCAACACGGTCTTGCTGAAAGCCAGGGAAGGTAAGAGGCAGGGCTGGTGCGTGCCCGGCGTACCCGCCGCGGGCCGGGGAGCGGGTGTCGGGCGGCGTGTCGCTGGGGCTGTGCGTGTGCAGGATGCCCGCAGTGAGTTGGGCTCGAGCAGGACACCTCGGAGAGCCGCTCTGCAGGCGCTCCAGGGTGCCTGCCCTTGGGCTCACAGGATCCGGACTCGGGTAGAGAACGAGAAGCGTAGAGGTCGCAGGGATTAGGATGTTCAAATATCCCCCCAGTTTCCGGCTCTAACCCTACAGACCGTGCCATCTCGGCAGCTGTTGAAAGGTCAGTTGGAAAAGCATTCATTCAGGAAGAGATGGGCAAACGTGCAAACAAAATAGCTTTTCGAGTCGGCCCGGGATGGTTCTGTGAGTGCGAATTGGTGTGTGTGTGTGTTGGGGCGGAGGAGTGGTGGTGGGGGGAGTGGAATTAGCAGAAGCCAAGTCTTTGCTTGCGCAGGCTGAGTTGATATAGGCTATTGCTGGAAACCATCCGCTGGGAATGTTTCTTAGGGAAATCCCGTCGTGTGGAAGGAAGCCTTTTAAAGGCAAAGTAAGCTGTTAAGGAATTAGCCTGTTCGTAGAATAATGGGAGAATGACTGTACAAATCGCCTAGAAAATAATTCGGTATTTCAAAGTTGGGTTTTTTCCCCTTTGGTCATGGGAGGGAGAGCTAACCGAATTGCCTGATCTGGGTTCAGTTAAAAAAGAAAAAAAGAGAAAGACAGGTAAGTGTGCTGGGGCTTAGATGCATTTTGGGTGCAAATTATTAGATTTCCTGCATTTAGCTGGCAGGAAATACCGTCGAAACAAGGTGGGTAAAAGCCTAGGTCGAAGGTATAAACATACATTTCGACTCTTCCTTGAGATGAAAAGCAAAGCAAAGCAAAAGTGGCCCAGAAACTTAGATGCTTCTTAAAATGATTGCATGTAAATATACATATTTAGGAACACCTGGAATTTATGTAACATCTCTTTTGCCAAGATTTGAGCTCTGGCTTGCGGCCGGTTTACAAAAAGGGGAAGTGGTTTTTCTCTTTCATGGGAGGAGGTTTTATTTGACACCCCAGGTAGAAGGGAGACTAAGTAAGGTCTTGACTTCAGAGGGATACTCAGGGGACAGCGCACAAAAATGCCTTACCTACTTCATATTTTCATTCACCCACTTTGATGAATGAAGAAAGAATTTCTGGCTAGCAATAAAACGGTTGATGTTTACCCAGCCAGTTCCATCACCCTGTGGCTCCGTACACGCTGTGCGGGTGGGTGATGCACAGCCCAGTAACTCAACCCAGCGTTCACGTCGTAATTTCGACGTCACATGTGCTCTAAAGCAGCCGCTGGAAGGTTTGCTTTGAAAACCCCAGCAGAGTTTAAAATATGCAAGTCCGTCCCCGCTCCATTGCTCAGCTTTGGTGAGAACAGATTAGTAGGAGAGGCTGTTACTTGGTGATTTCAGGTTGTAAGTCCCGACCTATTTTCTTTTTACCCAACCTGGCATTTTAGCGAACAGGATCAAGGTGGGAGCTAGGGGGCTCACCCCTCGACTGGGCTTTGCGTCCTGGAGGGAAAGAAGTGGAGAAAACAGCCCCCCCCCAACCCCCCCCCCCCCCCACACCCGCTCGCCCGTTCGCAGCCTTTGCGACCGCCACCTAGTGGCAAGACATGGTTGTATGTCTTAGGGCTTGGGGGCTGGGAAAGTTTTCCACCCTCCCCTCCGTTCTGAAATTATTTCTTGGGAAATCACTGGATATGGTGGTGCTGAGGCTTTGCAAATTTCACTGGTTTCTCTCCTAAGGAGAAATTCTGTTCTTTAGATTTGGCACTCTACACATTTCCTTTGCCTGGGGCATGCTTTTTTCTTCTCTCAGCATTTGGTTGCTTCTTTTAAAATGTTTTGCCTGGAGTTGGCAAAGTGCTATCAATTTTCTTTCCCAAATTGGTCTCCCTCGGTTTTTTTTTTTTTTTTTCACAGCCTGATATTTTTGTTTGGCAGGTTAACAAATTGGTTTTTTTTTTTTAGAACTGTAGGGAAGAGTACTGCAGGCTGGAAGCCTATATGGAATGACCAAATTACAGTGATTAAAGAATGTGCCTTTCACTTCCTTTGCATTTGGAAGTCTTTTCAATTTCTCTTGGAGTTTGGTAGTCATCTCAGAGTAAGAAAATAGCTCTGGACGATGTCTCTGAAATGGAGAGGGCCTTGCCTGTAAGGAAACAGAGAGACTGACACATGAATAGAAAAATTAATCACTGACATGGAAGTCGCCTTTTAAATGTACGTTTCTCCCTGTCTTTCTTATGTTTAAAGAGAATCCACGATTTTCAGTGCTTCTGCTTTCTTCTCGCTGGGTCTTTATTAAAGATCAGAGCACATGGATTCTAGTTAGTGTGGAAGGTTTTAGAGATAAAAGCATTTTTTTTGGGAAAATTCCTTAGTTTAAAAGAGTGACTTCAAGTATATAACGGAGAAGAGATAAATAAATTTTCCAAGTATTCAGAAATGGAGATTTCAGTTTAATGAAACATCTAACATAAAATTTATAGCATCTTTAATCATCCGAGTTGTTTAGAATGTTTGAGAGCACTTCTTCCTTGGAGATTCTTGTGAAAGGTTACCGATGAGAAATATAATGGGCATATGTGAAATTTAATTTAGTTCACTTAACAAAATACATTGTAAACAATTTAAAATGTGACTTTCAAGTGAAAGTCACATTTGTCCCAAACAATAGAGAAACAGGCCTTGAAAAAAGACAGACACACTTTGGAAATGTTATAAAGGAAATTGTAGTTGTCCATGTTGGTGGGTAATTTTGGGGCCTATCTTTTGCTGTTATTATGCATTCTTAAAGGCAGATGGCTTCTTAATTCACTGTAAATTCAAATTCTTACCATAATAAAATATGTATGAGGGGAAAACAAGAATATAGCAATAAAATAGAAAATCTGTAAGTGGATTAGAGTAAAATGATTCATTGTTAGGCATTACAAAACAAAGCAAACTAAATGACACCTTTGTGAGAGTTGTTTTGGAATAAGAAAAGATAGATCTCGGAAGACCTAGGTTCAAAATTTTAAACCATCCAAATGTATCTCGTGGGCTGTTATTTGTCCTGGTCTCATGAGAAAACATTGCCTTGATCACTCTTAGGAGCTTCAGATTACCCTCCTAAAAAGTGGTTAAGGAAAAAGAGAAGTTGAGGCTGAATTCATGCCAGTTTATGGAAATGAGCTAAGTGATTAAGCATTTAATGAAAAGAGCTCCAGACTAACTCTCTCTATCTATTTACATTTTAGAATCCCAGAAAATTGGCAAGCAAGCTGGTGTTGAAATAATAGTGAGAAAGAGTGTTTGCAGAGTCCCCTTTGTGTGTTTCTTTTTAGTTTTATCGTTGCAGTAAAGGTTTTTATGTTTTTCTCATATTCTAGATCTCTCCCCTCACTCTTTGAGTGAACAGTGATGAGAAGAAATTCTGCCAGGGCCCACCTTCCTTCAACAGGCCAGCATCGGCCATATCTGATCAATAAATAAAGTACTGATCATATTTTCTCGCGCATGATCTTAGCAGGCACTGAGTTCAGGAACCCAGAAGTCAGAAATGTAATGACTTTGCCATTGGTCACAACTGCCGAAAAGCAGAGTATGTAGGAACTTTTTTCTCTGATAACTCTCTGACTTGTTGGCCTGGACCTTCCTGATGAGATAGGGACCTGGGGAAAGGTGAAGCTGTGTGCTAGCAGAGGCTAGGGAGGGTGGGAGGAGGGAGGGAACCTGTGAGGGGCAGGCGAGAGGGACAGGCGCTTCCCCAACAGCCTCAGCATTCCACAACGGACCAAAGCCCATGCATGTCCCCCTGGCCCATCTGTCTGTCCCTTGCACCGCTAGCCATGATGATAAAACCGACGTGTCCTTATATTTCATTAATCAAACACGGGAATATCTCTGAAGCTTGAGACTCCTTACTGCCATCGGCAGGCATACTGATTCCCCCCGGGGCTTCTCGCTTCAATCATAACTGCAGGGAGAGCTACAGCGTTCACGTTCACGCTGGCGTTCACGTTCACGCTGGCGGAAAGCTGCCGGGCCCACTGAGTACAATGCCGTTAAATGAAACCGCCTTTGATTTTTTTCTAAGTTTCTTTTCAGTACTGACAACTGTAAGGTCCAGAAACCAAAATCAGTGTTTTCAGAAGGCCTCGTTCTCTTACAGAAAGATTTCAAGTGACGATTTTAATTACTCCAGCTGCCTATTTTAAAAATCATCAGCTAAATGCCCACAAGGCTCTTATCTTTCCGTAGCTTAGCTGCTGCTTGTCAGATTCTAAACTCCAAAAAGCTTGATTCGTTCAGTGCCTGAGCGAATCCTTGTGTAAATTATGTCTGTAGCTCTTGTAGCGGCTTGCTAAATGACACACTTTGGGTCCAGGCCGAAGACTTCAGTAACGTCCATGCGGATTCAGGAAAGAGCTTAGTACGTACGTGACCAGATCCACCTTGACCAAGGGCTATTCAGCTCACACCTGGGAGCTTCCCGTGTTCTTGAGAGGCCGTCCGGACTGCCGGCAATAGTTACAGGTCACATTTGTCGCCAGTATATTTGCAGCTCAAGATAAAGCATTGTAATATTTAGGTTTTTTTTAAAAATAAAAAAAGTCTCATGGCTACGAAAAGATATGACTGCCGTGGACCATGCAACCAAGAGGAAACGTGAGAACATGATAGAAGGTGACTACAAACGGGTGATGTGTAGAAAAGGAATTTCTCTCAGGAATTTCTTCAGCCCTGTTCAGCTCCACAGCTGAATATCCCTCCAGCCCCCACAGCTCATATCAAAGTAGAGTAGTGAAGATAAAAGGTTTTAAGATGTGATTTTAAATGATTAAAATGGCTCATGTGGGCATAGACAATAGGAGTGATTTCTACTTTAAAACACATTCAGTTCTATTTTAGGGAAGAATTTTATTTAAAAATATCCTAAAGATTG